ATTAGTAACATGGAATGGTTGTAAACATTTGTACTGTCTGTAATTATAACAGCTCAACTAAAAACTATAATTTATAATAATTTTACAGCATAAAATACAAATATGTACAAAATAACACTTGATACATAAAAAAAATCGTGTTTAATCTGAATTTTGCCACGTTTAATCCAAATGCGAAATTTTTCTTTACCAAATGAACCTCATAACCTGATTATTTGGCAATTTATTGTATGGAAATATGGAATCATTAAGAATGAACAAAATCCTTATACGTATTTCGCAGACTTTGTGGAAAATGGGCTTTAGGTATTTTTTTTTAATAACAGGACATTTTTCGGTTTTAACTGAATACTTACGACAAAGTTTTTGTTTAAAATGTATTAATACAGATGACATTATTTTTCATATGAAAATTAAATGCTGATAGTTACGTAACATTTACCGTTGAAAATAATCTGAACACTTCGAAATTCTGATCAATTTTGCCTCAAAGTGATTCAATATTTTCGACGACCGGCCATCGTTTACCATTTTTCCCTATCTTTAAATACTGAACTTTTGCGCTAAATTTGGTAAAATGCATTCTGCGCCTTGCAAAATGTCCTTTTCACAATATTCGTTTATCAGCAAATTAAGCGGGCAGATAATTTTTGGATTCAGAAAAACAATTGTGCCTTCGACCTCACTGCTCCCGCCGAAAGCAGTAAATTCTTTCTGATCGCAAATATTATCTGTCCGCATAACCGCCTAAAAACTATATATTACGGGTACTAACATCTTCATTAAAAAGTTTGTTTATAAAGTTTCAAGCAATTAAAATGTGTGCCTTGCAAAAGCCTCGATTTTAAAGGGCTTAGATAAAATGAGCCACGAAGAAACAATCTAATGTTTCCTTCACATTTTTTATATTTGTACACGAATAAAATAGATTTTTCCGTTTGCTTGCTGATTTCCAATTGTTCCTCCAAAGAATCATTTCATCTAACCCCATTCGCAATGCAGGCTTTTGTGAGTGTTCTTTTGAAGCTACAACTTGATAAACACAACTGCTGTTGTCCTACACATTCCGAATGGAATAGTATGCAATAAATGCTCAAATATACATTCCTTTGAAGCACGTAGAATCGTCTGTTTTTTCTTATGTAAAGTACTTTCAAATTGGTTTGGAGCACATTGAAAAATAGTTGATTTTATAAGATGGCTTACATAAAATTATAAGCGAAAGTCATGAGTTTAGGTAGTCTTTTGAACTGTTTCGGTTAACTGAAATAATCACAACAATTAAGCCTAAATTTTAGTTGAGACTAATTTTCCAAACTAAGATAAGGCAAACTTTTTCAACCTGAAAGGCAGTTTAAAAGTAAAAGTTCAGATTATTTTGCATAGAAAATAATTCACCACTACAGAGCCATGGATCAGTTGTGATTCATTTCATTCAAAAAGTTATACATTTCGGTACATTGTTGCTGAAATTTGAAGGGTCTGTATTATAACTCTAGAGTTATTCTAAAAGCCTTCAACACTTATTTGCGGTTTCTTAAGCCTTTACTTTCAAAATGTAAATTGAAATTAGTCGACTCAATTTACCACCGAAATGGTGTAAATAGCTTATTTCATTTACATCAAAAGTGCATTAAGCCCAACTGTAAGTTGTGGTTAATTTTGCAACAACAAACATAGACTACATGAATGAAGATTTAGATGAAATAACCATTGAAAAAAAATGTATCTCCATCCCGTCGCCCATTTTTCTCGTTTGTGCATATGCAGGGTAAATACAAGAAAAATGGAAAGCGATTGCATATTTTTTCTTCAAGTAAGGAAATTATCTAAATTCAGTTTTGTTAAAAAATGTACTCGGCCAAGACAACAAGTGTAAGTTTCGTAAGAAAATCGAAGTCAGACAAATAGAAGAAACTAGTAGAAAAATTTGAGTGGTGAATAATCAAATTGCGCATTGGTCAGGTCGGATCAGGTCTCAATCAGAATTTAATAATTTACCGTCACATTTGTATCTCAATTTACTCGAAACAAGGAAATTTTGAAACACACAAAAACACCGTTTGGTATTGCTTATTAATCGATTTTTGTTGCTTAATGAGGTAGAAACCACGATAGTATTTGAAATTGTTCAATTATTTGTATTGAAGTTTCATGAAAAGTTTCATTTTTTATTTTATAATTCGCTAAAATGAGTAGGTATAAGATGTACAGACAGTATAATTAAATAATATCAGTTCTTCCGAGAAACAGCGAGCACTTGTGGTCGAAAAGTTCGTGAACTTTCTGTAACAGTTTAAATTTTTTAGGATTACTTAGGCCTGGGTAACACTGTGTTGAGTTGGGCTTTTGAGTTAATGCCGCTATGAGTTGGTGATTTATAAGTCATCGCGCTGCACCTCGAATTGCGCATGTGGCGGAATAATTCTTTAAATCAGAAGTTTTAATTAGTTGAAATTTAGTTGGTTTCTATCATCGCTCGGAAATTGACCAATAACTTAACTTTTAAGCGATTTCTTCGCAGTTTTTTTGTTTAGTCAATATTTTACAAAAACAAAATTTATTCGGTTATTAAGTTAGTTTAGTTTTGGCGTTGTGCATTAATCACTGCAGCTGAGTGAAATTCAGACAAATATAGGTGGGTCTAAATTTAAAATTAAATTAGGGAAAGATCGACACTCGGAGCGTTTTTCGTTTAGTTGTCGTTGACTTCCGTTAAGTGGGAACGTGAAACTTGCCTTTGGAAATATTGCAATGCGAATAGGCACTTTCTACAAAAATGCCAACAATAAACAAGCTGAAATCGAACTGCCAAGTGCAGCATGAATCATCGAAAGGGCGAACAATTAAATGATTAAATAATCATGTTTATTCTGTAGTTCGGTGTCTTTTTTCTCGAAACAGTGTATGAATGTTCAGTTTGCTACAGATAGTGGACGAAATTGATCGATAATCACACTCTGGGAAATATAGAATCATTGTGACCCTTATGGCAAGTGCGGTAGTATGTGAAACTGTAGTCAACTTCTTGATGATTAATGGGTAGAAAATGGATGCTGGGGCGCCAGCTTGCAAAACACTGGTAAGAATGATCTCTAATCTACAATTCTTTTAGCTTGAACTGGGTTTAGTTTTCCGATAAGCAACTGAAGTTTTATGGATTCTTTATATTTCTCTCTCTTTGCTTTGCTGATTTCAAAAAAGTTTGGCTTTGGACATATTTCCTGCTGTACTAAACACATTTTGTTCTTTTTTTTCTAGATGGCACTGCGCAATTTTCGGTAAGTTTAGCATTACTTTGCCCCTGGAAGAACTTTTAGTCCCATATTTAGTGAATTTGGTATCGATTGAGCTATTGGTTCTTTCGGAGTTAAGATTTAAACTTTGGAAATATTTTGGGCGGCTTTGTATTTTTTATATCAAGCTCATCTTAAGCTTTTTGCTAAAATGTTTTTTTTTATTGCAAAATCGATCGAAACATGACGCCACTCTTTTTGACGTTGCTCAAGAACCATTTGAGCTGCAGAGTTCGTTTTTTATAGCATTGGATACATAATTGGTAACTTGATTCAGTTATAGCAACATGCGTGAGCAAACTCTGGTGAATTTGTCACAAAGGTCATACGAAATTTGAATATCAGACATTTAGGTGCAAGTTAACGCCAAAATTTCATTTAAAAAAACGTTTACATCATCTCAATCTTTCAAATTTCTACTGGCTTTACTTTAGAAGTTGGAATTTTTCAATGAAGAGTTTGCAGATGCGTGAAAGCGTTCATTTTCAAGTCAACATTTACGAAGCGCGCAAAATTCAGGATTTCAAGCGATTTGAATGAACTTTTGAGGGTTTGCAGGAATTTTGACAACATTTAGAGCGCACTATTCTTTACTCAACGCCCAACTCTGAACTTGTAGAGTATTTTTTGTTTATTTTCGAAATGTTTTCCCGCAACAAATGGGCGACTGCCGACCGACACAGCAATTCGCCGGTGCTGTTGGGTTGGCTCACTAAGCCATTTCGGCATCACTGCGCCAACTCCCGAAAATTCACTGAGTTACCCATGCCTAGGATTACTGTTGTCTTATAAATTTTCGTATTTATTTTTAATGTCGGCAACTAAACAACCATTTCATCCGTGATAACCCTGCACAAACACAAACAGGAGTAAACAAGCATTGATGTTGATAAAAAAATTACTCAATAAATTTTATGCAATAAAAAAATTATTGCAGTAGATTTATCTATCAAAAAGAAATGGAAATTTAATGCAAGTTTCCTCCCGCTATCATCAATCTACAATAAATACAATTAATTGCTACGTTTAACCTTTCCTGTTAACAAATTACTTAAAACTATATCGTACTTTAGCAAGTAAATTAATTAACTTAAGATTCATGCTATCGATTCTAAGACCATAATATTAGTGCGGGTTATTGTGCGTTTTCCGTTACTCATCGAAGCCCTTAGAATGTGTGGTTTGATGGGACGCTTTCGACGTTCATATAGTGGTAATTAATGGCGTAAATGGGATTTTCAGGGTTTCTTTCAGAGCTCTGCGATTCTACTTGATTTCGAGTTTGATCAACAAATTCTGCCAAAATCAGATTGGTATTGATTTCTGAGATGATTTTGCATATTTAGTGCGTATACACTAAATAAGAAAGTACACGGCTGAGACACTTGAAGCGGAAGGTTAATTTTAACAGTTTCGGATAATGAGCCGAATTCTAAAAGAAAACTTGAATATTAGTTAGTTTTGATGTAAGGAGTCTGAGATGATCCCCACCAATATATTTCGACTGGCGCTGATAACTCACCTACGTTTCCCATTTAGCCAGTATTGTCTGGTTTATCAGTAAGCGATTTATTAGTCTTTAGAAACTTTATACCTTACATTAAAATTCCCCAGTTCAAAGAGTCAAGTGTCTAACTGGTCGAGATAATTAGAACTCGACTAAAAAAAGGCAAATCAAATGAAACATGCAAAAAGAAAACAAAATAAAAGTCAACGTAAAATTTATTGAAATAAAAATGTTTATACAACTAATAAAAACAATAAAGCTTTCGAACTTAATAGAAACTCCTCCAGGTTGGCAATTAGTTTGAGCGATTCACAAACAACCAAACGTTAACTGCTTTCCACGCCCCTAATTTTTGCAGCTGATATAAAATTAAATATTATTTTTGTACACATTTTAGAACTATGGCGTGTGGAGCGTGGAAAACACTTAAATGACGTAGAAAAATAGTAGTATCAAATCAAGTAGTAGGTACATTGTTACAGAGAAAAACAGTAGTTGGCAAATGAAACTCAATGTGACTGATTGACGAAATTAGTGCGCTCGGATGTTTTTCTCTGTGACTTGTCGAACTTAAAATTATAAAGGATGAGCGGCCTGTACAAGGCAAACCTTCAGATCTTTGGCCAAATGCGAAATATCAACGATCGAATCAACCATCTCCTGAACCGCACTGACCAAAGGAAATTGAAGTGCTGCTTGTTTCGTCTTATTCACGCTAGTGGCCAAAGCATCCGATAAAGCGTTGGCTAAACGCAAGGTTCGTTCTTTAATATCTTTACATGAAATATTTCTGTGAACTGTATCTCCTATGTGAACTAATTTATGGGCACTGAGTACTACAAACTTGCCATGGGCGAGAAAGATTTTGGGCGGATGATTATGCTCTACCGTCTGAAGGAAAGAGTCTATGGCATGTGTTAAATTGGTGTGGTGCGTGATAATTTGCGATGCAAAAAATTTGAGAAGTTGCTTATCGTCGTGTGGTAATGCTGGGCTGCCTTCTTCGAAAACGGCGTCGTCTGCGTGTTTAACGCAGTTGTCGAAGCCCTTTTTCAGTTCTTGTGGAAGCTCGCTGAGAATTTGGGCATTCTGCTTGGAAACGTTTTCTTTGGAATCGAAACTTACATAATCGTACTCTTCCGCCCATTCGGTTGAACTAATAGGTTGTTCTTTCTTGAACAGAAGCGTTCCGTTCCCTTGAATAAAGGACGCTATTTGCCGGACATCTTCCGTTAAAGCTCTGGCGCAAGCCACCAGCTGCTCTAGTTCATCGGGTTTGGAAGCTTTGTCGGAAGTTTCTGGCCGTGCCAGCAAACTGAGTGCCCATCTGTGCCTTTCCAGTACTTCTGACGCCCCTTGTACTAACGCGTCGGATTTTCTAAGCGCTGAAACTTGAGGCGCCAGTTTGACCACTAAATTTTTATCGGAAGCTTTCGCCGCATTTCCCAGCGAACCTTCGCCGAATTCCGCCAAATCGTGAAGGGATGTCCGTAGCCTCGTTACAGCCAGTTTGATTTCCAGTCTATTGTTTTCCAATTTTTCTCGCGTTCGCCAATTGGGGCAAACAAACCCGAGTAACTTTGAAATTGCACTCAACGTATCAGTCTCTAGCCTCTCCAAATTTTCCAAAGCTGAATTTAACTCTAACGGTAGTTCTTTCAGTTGCTGCTGAGATGGAGGAACGTCGTAGGTGGGCTGCGGAGGCGCCAACACCAGCTGGGGGCCCCGATTAAGCGGTCTAGGAATGTCGTAGTCGGGCATGTTGGTCATGCTGCTACGGTTTGAGGAACTTAGTGAGTCGGCTGTCAGGGAGCTGGCCGAACTCGATGAGGTGAGTGGATGGTTGATGTTGAGCGATCGGGGAATATCGTAGGCCTCGCCCGATTCTCGACTTATGGGGGAGACGCACGACGAGGGCGCTGGGGAGAATCTGGGGCAATTTCGGTAGGTCTCGTGCCCCACTGGAATGGCTCGGGGGGGCACGTCGTAACAATCGTTAACTTGATCCCGCGGACTGATTCCGGGACTGTGGCCGGAAACTGGTATGGGGGAGCATCTTAACGGCGGCGTGTCGTACAGGTAGACATCATTGAACTTTTTCGGGGTGATCACCTACAATAAAACACACATTGAACTAAGTTTATAATCTCGGTGGGAATCAATAAGGCTTTGCTATAACTCAAGCCAAAATTAGTGACAAAAGAATCGTATATTATGTTATGTTATAAGCACAGAATGGGTGCCATTTCCTCCCAGTATGTGTAACTCCTTACTATGCGAGTAACATACTATGCTTAACTACAGGGATTTTTCAAGAAAAAGACAATTAACTACGTAAATTAATGTTGAAAAATGCCACATAAGGCCATATAACCATGTTACAAAGTAGGCATGATCGCCTTGTTACTCAACCCCACTTCCGATTTAACAGTTTAAGAGCGAATACCACCCTCCTCGAGGGTTTAATGACAGTGTTTGGACATAAAGTAAATAAACTTGAAACGTTTCGTTTTCGGTGGCCCACCCTGTATAGCTCCATAAACAAGAAATTGCATTAAAGGTACCGTAAACACTAGATTATAACTAAATCATTTTAAAATTGAATTTACATTACTCGGAAAATTTCAAACTGATAAACTTGAGGTCCGATTTTGCAAATATAGAGAAATGAACGGTTCACATTTTTATGTTTCAGTAAAGCAAGTTCTCGAGTAAGAAAAAATAGATTATTTAAAGCCGTTTTCGATATACATATTAAATCATATCCATATTTTATCAAAAGTTTTATCAATTTGCTGTAAATTATACAAATCCTTGAAATTAGTGATATTTTAGCTAGAATCCAATGGCATTTTTCAAATGAAACACCCAGTCATCGAGAACATTATTAAATTTCCTATCAAATGACATGTTTTCTAAAGACTGGAAATATATTGAAGATTGACATTAAATGTCATAATGATTGAAGATGATGCGACACTTTAAACCAGCTGTCAGCTTGACAGTTTGTCAGTTGATAGTTTGTGCGACACAATTTTTTGTATTAATTTGCTTTAAATGAGGAATTCTAGGAATAGAAGAATTTAGTCACAAGGTTCGTGAGGAATAAATAGTTTTATCAAAACTTCGTTTGAATAGTTGATTTTATTAATTAATAAATCACTGTAGTGATAAGCGCAAAAAACCTGCATCTGAAACTACGCTGAGTGTGAAGCTGACAGCTGCTTCAAAATGTCGCTCAGTCTCCAACCGTTATGACAAATACGTCAAAATATTCGAGTTTTTGCAAAAAGTTTATTTGGAAATTTGACGCTTTAGATCAATTTTTTATACATGATATACCATCTTATGGGGAATTTAATACTCTTCCCGATCATGGACTAATATAAACATTTTATTTGAAAAATTATAATTAAGTTACAGTTACACAAAAATTACAATTAAAGTGAATTTTATTTGTAGCTAAAATATCACTAATTTCAAGACAGCCTGGATAAATGTACAGAGCCAAAATGTTTAATTTCCGGGTATCGAAATGGCGTAATCAAATATTTCTTAGTTATGTTTTGGTAAAAAAAAATAATTTTATTTACTATTTTGGAAAGCGCCTTAAATTGTACAATAATATACAAGGTGTCTCATTTAAAATGTCGCATTTTTTAAAATATTTTGGGATGGTAGAGCAAATTTGATTACAAATATATGTACAAATCTTCAGAGAGATCATACATCGTGGTCTCCGTAAACGTCTAATAATTATTAATTATTAATTATTAAAGAACCATTCATTAGACATTATTCTAAGAAGCACACATCATAAAAATAAAGCATCTAAGTACTTTTATACAGAGTGATTTTCAATATACAGGGTGTCTCGTAAGCAAAAAGCAAATTCTTCGGTTCAAAAGAAGACGTTAGTTTTACTAACAAAATATGCCTGGCTTCTCTACTATAGTTAAAGTTCTTCAAAAAACTTAGGTTTTTTGAAATATCGGGAGACTGATGCGACCCATTTTAATCAAACTCGCGCTGATAGTTTGTGTACGAAAAAAACACTCAATAATTCACCACTTGAGCAGTGCAATCAAACTAGGTTGCATCTTCAAAATATGAGTCTTACAGAAAAATAATTTCACGAGTTTCATTAAAATCCATCCTAACATTCTCCCGGTATTTCAAAAAACATAACTTTTTTGTAGATCTTTGACCATCAATAGCAGAGGATTCAGACATTTTTTGTTAGTGCGTTACGTCAAATCGTATTAACTTGATCCTTTTACAGCTGGTTTAGTCATGTGCGTATGACACACCATGTCTCATGCACTATGATTTACTTTTGAGATAGAATGGAAGCAAATATACAGGGTGATTTGTTGTTGGGTCTCAATGACCAAAACAACTTGTAGTTGTTGGAGCATATGAGAGAGCGTATTTGCTGTTGGATTTTTTTTATTATACTCTGTGAAACTTCAAATGGACGACATGGATAAAGTTCACCTTCCATCCGGATAAACTCAATCTTCTACATGAAAAACGCACAGATTTCACGATATGTTAATTTACGGTGGTAATTACAAGCAAATTGAATATTCTAGGCAAGTGAAGAAGAAAATGGTCTCAAATTTCGTGCAGATTTTTCGTAATTCGAACTTTTCAAGAATTAAATTACGTTTTTCTTCATTATTGTTGCGGGAACTCAATTTTGAAGCACCTTCTTTAAAAAAAACATATTCAACCGACTTTCAAGAAAATGTGAACTCGTATCTAGTTTGTTACATAAATTTTACCTGAGAAGCTTTTAAAGCTATATCAGGAAAATTTCAACACTCAAGTTAATTCTTGAAATTAAATTAAAATACTCGTAAAAAACCCGCTAACACCCTGTAAACGAGCATTTCGGAAAACGTTTTAGTAGATAGATCAATTACCTGCAAACTACCATCATATAAAGATGTGTATCTGCAAGTTTATCGTTACGAAGTCTAACAAAGAACTTCCATATCAGGTCGAGACAACTTCACTATAAGGACAAATTATACAAAAAGCAAGTACTATGTGGAATACCTTATACAGGCTGACTCATTCCTATTTTTAGAATTGCACTTGCATTTTTCTTGTGCAAGAAAATGTTGGCTTTGCTCGGCTCTGCTCTCTTTGATGTTTTATACCCGGCATGTTACGAATCGGAAGCGTCCCAAGCCAAAGAAAATTAAATAATTATGGGTCTGCGTTCATTTAGCTAATTGGCGAGATTTATTGATTGCCATTAAATATCTCAAAGACATTTTGATGAAAATTCTGATTATCATTATCGGCTGCTTCCCATTACATTCCGAAAGCTGCACAGTGAGTTTTAACGAGTTTTAACCAATTCTTCACAAATAGACTGATTTAGAGTTTCGTTCTATTATTAGGCTGCTAGAATAAGCATTCTGTTCACATTTAAATAACAAATCAGACGTCTTCGGACGTCCCGAGTGATAAATCGGCCGACTGAAAGCATATACATTGAATTCCTTCAACAAATTTATGTTAATAGATACACAACTAATTTACAGTCAATAATTTAATTTTCGAACAGCCGCTTTGGTATTTTTAACTCAGTAAAGCATTTTTCTTTGAGTTCGAAACTGAATAATTTCAGTTGTTTTAGAGAAGCTGCATTTTACTAAAAATATGTAAACAACATTTTTCCCAATCCGATGAAATTCGAGAAAAATTTAATCAATTAAAATCTGTCTCAATAAACTCTCATTTCAATGGACAGGCAACTAGTTGGGACATGTGGACATTGAGACAAAATTGTTACTAAAAACAATAAAACAAAATATTACAATAAGCATTAAAAGTTGGAATGTGTCAAATGATAATTACTCTCGTGTTTCATTGTATTGAAAATCCTTTTCTTATTCATTGCTCCTGATTCGATACCTGTTCTTAGCATTTTCAATTCATATTTTAAGAATTAAATTGTATTCTTGTTAGATCAGAGGAAGATTTTAACATACAACTTTACATATCTTACAATACAAACCAGTGCAAATTTCTATGTTCGCTAACCTCAGGCACCACCAGGACCTGTTTCGAGCCTATTAGCTCTCATCAGCAGCTCATTCTCATTAGCTCATTTGTTTTTATATTCTACAATTAAACGCCAAAAAAAGTTTGCTTCTTCTTCTATTCTTCAAACTTGTTTTTATATTTTGATTTGTATCAACATCTTTTTACTGTAGATTTACACACAGGTTTAATAAACGTTAATATACGTACATTCAATTATAAATTTAAACCTCAACTTGCAAGGCAAGAAATTCTACTTATAAACAAAAACAAAAGTCGAAGATTAGCTACAATTTTCCCAGGTTCGACTTGGTAGAAACAAAATTGGTTTAGAAATATTATTTATGTAATCTTTTTGTTATCGCTTTTTGGGTAGGTAGATAGAATGCGAAACACATGAAATGTGATAAAATTAAGTAATCTAAATATAAAATATATACAGGGTTGTGCTTTGGTGCACCAAAGTGCTATACTTCAAAAAATATAAATTTTAGAAGAAAATGTGTCTTTTGAAAGTTTTCAGTGTTTAAAAGTTATATGTTTTAAAACAAGTTTTCAATATACCTAGTGGTAATCAACTATGTTTTTTTACTGGAACCACCATTTTGGACTTATCGTCAAAACTTTATGTAAGTTTGCAACCCGGTATATTTAAAAGCTTAAAATGCGCACATGTAAAAATCAAAAGCTTTCATGTGTTAACTTTCGTATTTTCTTCTAAACAGAACTCTTTACTAAACTACATACATAGGAGCAATTCGTAACCACTCAATTTTCTCCTAAAAGAAGCAATAAACAAACGTCGGTGACGAGTGAAACAAATTAAAAATATAATTTAAAGTTTTTTTATTAAAAAATATATTAATGATGCGGTAAATAATCATTGGTGAACCACTTTGTTAAAAAAAATGTAATACATATAGTTAAAGTGTACTATTTGAGGCAACTAAGCTGCTGAATAAATAAACGTCTCTGACGGCGCTCGTAAGTGAAAAAAATTATCCAAAATATAAAAAAATCAATAAAACAGTAAACAGTTTACAACTAATTGA